AAAAATAGGTGATTGACTCATTTCCCTTTGCAAGTAGACAACTTTGCCTTTCTGTTTTTATTCTTTAAGTGTCACATTCAACACACCGGAAAACAGGGTTAGTAAACAGCAGAAAGCAGCATTTGTTATTTGCCTTTGGCTGCGAGCCATGCCTCTTTCACTCTGTATATGGCCCTGTCTCTCTCACAGGGCCAGTAGTCTCATGGCCAGACCTACTGTATCTCCACAGCGCTGTCAGTGACCTGTCTCATTATTTCCCCCTCCAATCAGGAGGAGCTCTCCCACCTCGCTCTCTTGTTGTTGCAGTGTTGCATCTTGCACAATATGAAGAATAAAATTGCTGTTGCACATTGTTCCCAAAGACCATAAAAAACAATAAATAATGTAGAACTTGAACGCATGTCATAGCATCGTGCCTGAGAAGGTTAAAATGAGTGTCTATGGGTGTCAGGTTTCAATCCCTGCCGACTGGAGCTGAAGCTGATAAATACCGGTGACTAGCTGCAGTCATTTGTCCTGGAACTGAATGCAGATTGTACCATTTCCCACTGAAGACAAAAGCCAGAGGTTAGTGGGTGCTAGTGGGTCTTTTTGTCCAGTGTGTAAGGGGCTTAAGTAAGGGCACAACGTTGCAGAGCACATGATTCCTGCAGTTTCACCATTTCTTTTTCACACAGCAATATTGTTACCTTGACATTTCGAGCTGAATCAGGCTGCACATGTCTGTAAATACAGTACTGGGGCTGACAGGTTTTGCAGCTATTTCTCGGTCAATAAACGCACTGAGGAATTTATTGCTTCAGTTGACTACATTTACCAACAATACTGATTGGATATCCAGAATGTGGCACATTTTCCCTTTAATAAAACTTTTTAATACAAGATTTTTTTTCTTTCAGGACAAAATCCTGAAAATGTATTTTAAAATAAGCACAATGTCTCACAATTCTTTAAACTGGATCAGCATCAAAAATATAATTGTTCATGGGCCAATGGCTTGACTTCCCAGCAAATTTCATTTAAATCTGTGAGCAGGTTTTTGACGTATGCTACTAACCAACAGACATATAATCTCTTAGGCCTAATGACCCTTAGGAAACTAAATGAAAGCACACTCACCAATGGCCAGGAAGAGCTCATTGACGTTCATGGCTGTCTTGGCCGAGGTCTCCATAAAGAGCAGGCCAGTATCTTCAGCGTATGTCTGGGCTTCCTTTTGCATACAAACAAATACAAATATTAACATCAGCAGAAAAACTGCAGAACACAAAAAAAAACCTAAACCCGAAAAGAACTCAAATGTTTCTTATCTACAAATAGCAGACAGACAGTCGAGCACAGACCTCTGAGCAGCCTCTGCAACAACCATTTATGGTTTGTAGTCAAGATTGAACAAAATGACTATTATACACTGTCAGGTAGCTGCTGACTCATTAGGACTCTTGCACCAAAATTTGAATGCAACCAAATCAGTAAAAATGTGTTTAATATGTGAGATATGGACATTTGTTGATTGGTTTGACGGATCCCTGTGCTCTATTTTCTAATCTTTTTGTAAGAGCACACAAGTCGTTTGTTTAGTCGCCTCCACCTGCTCCACTACAATCTCAGTTAAAAGAACTACAAAGTTCAAGTGCAGTTTCATTAAATGACCCACCTTTCACATACTGTGGCTACTTATAAAACCAACTGTGCCAATTATATGCATTAATTCATAACACATATGTAACCTGTCATCATTTCATCATTAGGCTACAGCCCACACACACGAGTATGTTACCTCATATTCTACTAGTCTCCTCTCTGCCAGGTCAGCCTTGTTCCCGGCCAGGGCAATAACAATGTTAGGACTGGCCTGCCTCTGCAGCTCCTTCACCCAGGCCTTGGCTCTCTCAAAGGTCTCCTGTACAAACACAGCACCAAGGTCAGATAAACCGCAAATCAATATTGCCCAGACCTACATAAACAAGCAACTAGTTGATTAATCTGCTCATACTATACCGGCTTGGTGATGTCAAAGACAACGATAGCAGCCTGAGCGCCACGATAGTACATGGGAGCCAGGCTGTGGTACCGCTCTTGTCCTGCAGTGTCCCAGATCTCAAACTTCACTGTGGTATCATCTAAACACACCGACTGAGCCAGGAAAGCAGCTGGACATAAAGAGGGGAAAGGACAGGTTACCAGGCGTTCTTAAAAGCATTTTAACCTCCTGAAAAATGCAACCTTCATGCCCTCTCCCCCCTACATTCACATCACACATCTCTTGCTTTTCACCTCCTATGGTTGTCTCCTGGAACTCATCAAACTGTCCCTTGACGAAACGCAGCACCAGGCTGGACTTGCCCACGGCCATGTCGCCCAGCAGCACCAGCTTGAACTGGCAGATCTTGGTCTGTGGAAGTGTGCCGTTGGAGCGGCCTCCACTCCCTCTGGAGCTCATGGCGGCCCGCGTAGGAGACGGCAGGGGGGCTGGGGCCTCCTCCCTGGGGTGGAGCACTCTTGCACTGCGTTCCAAACGGAGTGTGGTCGAGCCTCGGCGGTGGTGTCTTCTTGACCTCTCTTCACACCTTGTTTTGTCTGAATGAAGAGGTGAAAGATTTTGGTGCAAGATTACATCATGGCCTACCGAACATACACTTAACTTTCTCTTCCAGTGCATCCATAGTGTCTACAGATCAGGGTTCAGGTAAGGAGAGGTGGCCATCTCACATCAATTCAAGGAATAGCCAGTATTATCAGCCCTGAAGGTCTACTGTGCTCACATCTTACCTTACCTCTCACACTTTTCTTTGCTTATGAAGGCACCGACTGCCTCTTCCAGTACATCCATACACTCCTCAATAAAGAGTAGGGTTTTATACGGAAGGGTGGAGATTTCCTTGGCATGAAACCAAGGAGATAGCAACTGCATTGCTTTACATTCCCCGGCCCTGCATGCCTACCCTGTGCTCAGTGAATCCGAGCCATGTTTGTGTCCCACTGTCCTGCAGTGAAACTGGAGCTTTAACAGGGATGCTGCGCCTCAAACTGCTGTCTCCCACCGCATACACAACAATGCTCAACACCCATCACTGCAGCACATTACTCAAACCTCCGCGGCATATGGTGTAGTGTCTGGACAGAGGTCAGTTGGCATTCCTGCACTCAGCCTTCAGGTTGCTGCCACCACAGTAAACGCTATCATACCAGCAGCCCTTCTCCTGCGTTATGTGCTAACGGGACACCGCTCCGACCACTCAGGTCGGACGAGACGAAACTGTGCTAAACCTTTATCTTTCGACGCCCAATTAAACACACCAACACTGCATGTCCACCTGAATAACATACGACTACTGAGGCAGAAGTATAAAAATATTTACCGTGTGTACTGTCGTTTCAGCGGCGCACGTATCGCAGGCTTAACTGTTGACAATTTGGCTATCAGCTGGTTAAAGAAAATGTTAACACTTCCTGTAAATCGGCGCAGGCGCACTGAGTGTCGCATTGTCAATCGTGTAACCGCATTCCCCAACGGTCGCTTCAGTGACTGTTCACATTTCTACACTCTCCATTTACTGTCGACAAAACGTTACATCGTTGTTTTACAGCCGAGGAAAAAAATATTTGTATTTACAATGACAAGTATGAATGAAAAATAATGAATACTGGTCAAAACCAAGCATATTGCCGCCGAACTTGAACATTCTTTTACCAAAAAAACATTCCTGTATAAATAATGTAACGGGCCTTTTGAACGACGTTTAATTGACCGGGAGATCGTTGTGGGCTCCAGGCCGCAGGGGGGCGCCAGAACGCACTCAGACAGGAAGCTACACGGAAGTCTTTAACGTGTGACGGATGTTTGAATTATTTTGATCAATGGACCAAACACCTTCTCATCAACACTATTTTAATACACTATAGAATGTGTATTAGCGTTTACCTGTGAGGGGATGTGACAGCCTGCTGACATTATGCCACTCACAAACACAAAGAAGAAGAAGAAGCAGGGGAGGGACACCGCGGTCAGTCTCACGTATTGTTTCACTAGAACGAGCAAAGCCTCACATGTAAAGTGTGTAACATCAGTGGTGTTACTGAGTACTGTACTTGATGTGCGTTACTTTAATGCTCTCATTCATTCTACTACAAATCAGAGAGATTGCTTTTTACTCTGCTACTTTCATTCCACAGCCTAAATGACTTTACAGAATAACACAATTTACACACTTCACAAGCAGGGGCGGATCTGGAGACATTTCCATGGGGGGGTCCGGTGGGTGGCATGGAGACTTCAAGGGGTGGCAGAAATATCTGTCTATCTTTAATCGTAATATCAAACTAATGTTATATTTATTATAGTTTACCTTAGAACCACACACACATTCATCAACACATTATTGTGGCACAGTGAAGCATTAAATAGAAATATCTAAAGGTTTTTTCCTTTAGATTCATTTCCGTTTTTTGCAAGTTTAGAAAAAAATATTTTTGTTGAGTTTAAGAAGAACAGAACAACACTCAAATCCTCACACTGCCCATTTCTCCTGCTTCTAACACATCAACTTTGAGGACAAAATGTTCTCTTGCTGCCTGATATATCCCACCCACTGACAGGAGCCATGATAACCAGATATACATATATATATATTAGTGTTATTCACTTCACCTGTCAGTGCTCACAATGTTATGGCTGATCAGTGTATGTATGTGAGTTTAGGGTAACCAGTCATCAGAAGCCATATTATGTGGTGCGTCCCATAAATGCCACCTCTGCATACAAAACAGAACAGGACCTTATAAAACATGAAGCATTGTTGTAGATTAAAATACCCAACAGTGTATAAAATGCTTGAAGACCTAGCTTGATGCTTGATCTTAGCCTACCACAACACTACAACGATGCTTACACAGTAATCACACGTCCCATCAGTTATCCAATGATTAATGTATAGCAGTATAACACAGGGGTCATTTTCTGCACTGATTGCTTCTGCTTTTGATAGTTTGATAAATACATTTTGCCAAAAGTACTTACATTATTTATACACTATCATTTGAGGACAGGCTCAGGCATTTACACTTACACTGGCTCTGTTTTTGAATTGCTGGACCCAGGTGCAGGGAACCAATGACAGCAGTGTGGTGAGCAAGGTGTCTGCTGCAGCACAGGGGTACTTCCAGGATGTCTTCCTCCAACACTTTGTGTGCAAAGTGGCCAGGAGAGCTCCACTCATCAACAGGTCAGCAGGGATCTTCCTCTCGTCACACTCAGTTGCGCATGAGACTCAGTCATCAGTTTCGCAGTCACTTTATTGAACACACAAACTACATACACACAGGAGTTGTTTGAAAATGGTGGTGTAATATTTCACTGCTGAATGCCAATTTTAGTGCTCGCTATATAATGCCATTACCAAATCAAAGAAAATACATGTGTAATTCCAATATTCCATGCACATTACAATCTAATATGCTTATTTTGGCCAGTAACATGTTGTTTTAGATGGAATTGTTATTGATTAAAGCTGCAGTAGGTAACTTTTATAAAAATAACTTTCTGTCATATTCACTGAAACTTTCATTATATCCTGACAGATGATCTGTGAAAAAATCAGGATCCTCTGGCCCCTCCTAGTGCTCCTCATGGCATTTGTAAGGTTTCAGCGGGCCTGAACAAAAACAACCAATCAGAGCTGAGAATGATCACTTTGGGTTGGTGGATAGAAGACAGTTGATTGTTCAGTCTCATTCCAAGTGTCTGTATTTGACGACCGGAGAATGAGGCTCAACAATCAACAATCACAGTCTTTCTCAGCTCTTATTGGTTGCTTTCATTGAGACCCAGTGGATTCTTGTAAATGCCATTAAGAGCACTAGGAGGAAGCCAGAGGAACCTGATTTTTTTCACAGATTATCTGTCTCATGTACTACTGTCAGGATATAGTGAAAGTTTCAGTGAATATGACAAAAAGTTTTTTTTAATAGAAGTTACCTACTGCAGCTTTAATGAAATAGAAAAATACATTGGGTTACATTGTACATAATAATAATGACAAACTGGCAATGAAATCAGAATTCCTGGCAATTCCTGAATAGGGCACTGAGGGTAGACCTTGGATTGGGGCTGGAACTACTGTAATTATTAATTTCATTATGGGTTAATTTTTCATGATTAATCATGTGTTCTATAACCTTTTAGAAACTAGTTAGATATGTCTATAACTCAATATTATGTCTGTATACACAAACATACAAAACATAGTATATAATAATGACAATAATATTGTGTTGTATTTCCACGTTTTAGGGGCTACTATGTGCGTTGGAGAGCTGTGGACCACTGTGTGAGGAGGTTCCTTCACATTACTGAAAACTGCCCCAAGAGACAGGCGAGTTCACAGTGTATTGTCTAACACTATTTTGTTTAGAAAGTTTTCCTTATGAAGGGTTGCGTATGTTATACAGGGTGTCACAGGTCTGGAAAGTACTTGAAAGTGCTTGTCTCCTGGAGTCGTCCATCATCTCAAAATTCACCCACAATACCATTGTGATACATACTATGTGCTGCCCAGTTTCTCAAAATGACATTTCACTTACACCAAAAACCCCAAATATCTGGGTTTGTAATCGCTACAGCTAAAAAAATATCTATATATATATATATATATATATATCAGAATATCTGTTTTCTTTTTAATTTATAGTAATAATCATTTTATTTGTAAAGCACATTTTAATCTTAAGCACAGGTTTCCAGATTAAAACATATAGAGAACAAAACTGACAAGCAGAAACCCACGGGTCCCCCCCATAACACCCATGAACACACACAATTAAGAACAAGATAAAAGCACTAAAATATTAATATAAAAGAAAGCGTAAACTGATGATACTAAAACAGGCACAATTAAAATTCTTTATGTGATGACATCAAACACCATAAAGTAATCAAAGGCAAAGGCATTTTCTGCGGAAAAGCACATATGATATGTTTTCCAACAAAAAAAACATTTAAAACAATATATTGACAAAAGCCTCTTACCATTACCAACCATAACTTAAAAAAAAAACATTGAAAAATGGTTTGTACTGATATGCTATTTAGTGCATATTTAATGAGACCTAAATCTGGCAAGCTATCCTGATGGAATAAAAGGATTTTCTCCACCCTTATTAAGGTAAACCATTCAAGTTTTTGTAAGTGCTGTACTGGGTTAGAGTGGTATACTGTATGTGAACATCTACGTGAATGGTAATTCAAAAAAATAATTTGTCTTTGAAAAGTGCTTGAAATGTGTCATTCTAAAAGAGTTGCACCCTTGTTTATACCACAACATTTGTTTTTATTTCTCATTCTGTCATTATCGTTTCCCCTTTATTAGATTTTGTCACTGGGCGCCGGGTTCGACTCTCTGTATTTCCGCCTATGCACTGGTGAAGCACTTGACAGGGCTGTCGTGTTCGAGGTAGATTTTCCTGACGTCACCCGGCGGAAGGCTGCCCTCATCAACTCTAATATCACACTGAGGGGGATGTTAGACTCTCATTTACCTTCTCCTACAGGTTTGTCATTTCCCTCACACACAACACACTTGAGATTCAAAGAGATTTAATTGAGTATATGCTTTATGTGTGTCTTCAGGACCTGTTTATGTGTCCAGTGCTCAGTACCGTCTGCTAGGGGTGGATGTGAGAGAGGAGTCCCAGGTCGAAGAGGCTCTGAGTGCAGCTGGGTTGGACTGGGTTGCCCCTACACTGATTCTCTCTGAAGTGGTGCTTACCTACATGGAAACACAATGGTGAGGCAAGGTGATCTATTTATGGGACCATATCACCCATTATGGGTTACATAATATATAAGCTAGGACTTTAAAAGCATGTACTGTATTTGGATCTTAGGTCTGGTACAATAATTAAACAGTACACAGTATCTAGAAAAAATAATCTTGTTAATACGACNNNNGGAGAAAGAGCTTTTATTTTGCATTATGAGAATAAACAGGGATCCCACGTGTGCTAGAAAATCTGGATAACCTGGTCATTTAGACACAATTCATGTCATGGAAACGCCTGGAAAATTGATTAAAATGACCAAATGTCCTGGAAATATTCTCTTGTCCTGTACATTTTCATTGTATTTTGGCTCCACACTCAGATTCCATAAACCTGGGTGTATATGTTGTTTGAAACTCAACTGTTCAGAGCGGGTTTACCAGACGCAAAGTGGAACAGAAAAATGCTGCTTTTTCATTTCTGCTCCCATGTCAGTTTAGAGCTGTTCACCACCAACTTTTAACATCAAATCTATTTATTTTGGAAATGCTGCAGATGGTCACATCTACAAGCATACAGACTATTATTGTTTAAATTTACATTGGTTGTTGTGCTTCATAACTGTTCATTGTACATGCAACAGACACTTATACCTCTTCTTTTAATAGTCTGATTAATTTTCTGTAAAATAACATACATTCTTTAATTTAATATTTTATATATTTTTTATGCCACAGTAGAAAAATCAGT